CGATGTTGTTGTGCTTGACGTAGAAGGAAGTCTTATCCATCCCCAACACATCAAAGATGTATTGGCGCATGTATGCTTCCAGCGTGCAGTTGTTGGCCCTCGCGATCATCAAGCCCACAAGCTCCAGCCCGCCACCATATGCGAAGCCGGAGCCGGGCTCAAAGATGAGAGGTGTCGCAAAGCACTGCGTAATAGGTGTGCGCATGAAGAGACTTTCTTCGTTGCGATGCTGCCTCCACTTCACGAGGTCAGCCGCGAGAAAGTCGTAGCCGACTCCGCTCGTATGCGTCAGCAATCTTCGCAATGTCAACCTTTCTTTTGCAGGTTGTAAGATAGGTTCATCAGCGTTCCAGCCAGTCAGGACAACAGAATTCTTCCATTCAGGCAGTAAACGATCGGTGTCAGTGGGTTCGTCGAGCGAAAACAGCCCACGCTCGACGCACTGCAAGGCTGCGATAGCCGTCGCTAGCTTCGTGCAAGATGCCAGCCATACGGTCGTCTTCGTCGATACTGGTGGCGACGTGGAGTCAAGCTGCAGTGTGCCAAATGCAGCAAGAAAGTCATCTGGTTCCGAAGTAGCAGCTGTGAATCACGTTAGCCGCGAACTGTAGGCCATGTAACAGAAACACAAATGACAAGCGAGGTCGCCGACCGTGCGAACGGCTGCGAGCATCCGACGGCTCCGTCGCATATTCCCAGTCCATCTCAACGTGCCGCTCTCAAACGCACGCTAAACTCAATTGCCCTGGCAAGTGTTTTGGCAAAAGAAAACATGCAAAACCAGACCATACCCTTTCGAAGTGCTCTTGCAGCACCGAGAGCCACACCGGGCAGCAGGCGCTCAGGGCCGGATGCAACTGCCGACTGAAAAGCGTCATTGAACAAAGCAGAGGTTGTCATCTTGTAAACTTGGAAGGTACGCAGTGCTTTGGGTATTCACGAACATCGTCTTCGATACCAGACCTTTATATCTTGGTGTGCCCAAACCATGCTTATCATGCATCCTTCTGGGTGACTCACAATTGCATCCGCAAGTGCCCGCGGAGACAAACAAAGGGCGCTGTAGGATCTAGGACAATGCAACAACTATCGTGAGGCTCCAGTCGCTTAGATGCTCACAGAGCGCGTTGCTGTTTGGGTACTAGGGCGAGCCTGCCATCCTGATTCCGCGACTATTTTTACGTCCTACGGGCGTAACCCCTCTCTTCAACGCCCTTCGCGCTGAACGCCCACGCTGTAGCCGCGGAAACACGTATCTCTCGACTATCACCGCGACTTCATCGCAGCGCTCTATCCTACATAGGTAGGCATGCCGCTGTTGCGTTTCTCGCGTCCGCTTTCGCTCCAGATTCCACCCGCCCCCACCTTCCGGTCCCGCACCCCACCACACCACGCCAAGGTTTGATGCACACAAGCCGGGGGTACGAACGCACACTCTGACCGGTACCTGACAGCTCCAGACCTATGCGTCTTTACTTTTTTGCTTCAAATTCTCTTACCTTACGTTCAATCTTAGGACACACCATGCATGCATTGTGGACGTGGCCGAATCATGGCGCATGGGGGATGACGGCATACTGCGTCTCCTGTCATCTCCGCGACTAATTCTCGGACCTATCCATTTCGCATTGTTACAGATGCTGCGAAGCCGCTGATCCTTCTAGTGTTCCCAATTCGGAGGTGACTGCATACACTTGCCACCGTATGCCCACTTGTCACAAACGGGTCCTCGACACCACTTCATCATACACCGTTCACGGCTGCGGGATAATTGAGCTCGATAGCCGACACGATCACGTACGATGCAGATAGTATCGATCGAAAAGGCGCCACTCCGGACAGATTCTTGACAGGGACCACCGTGGCGGGAGCGCCCGACCGCTGCAGATTGGCTCGAACCCTGTCGGTTACGCATGTTTGACAATCCGTACGCGAGGAAACTCAAGGTCGGACTCGCGTTTCGTCAAACTCCAATACGTTGTCGTGGTCAAGCAGGGTAGAGTTCTCGGGTCCACTACCGGCCACTAGAATTCTGTCAACGTCCCTTGATCATCCCAGGATCATGAGTATACGCGCATGCAACGTAATTCGACGTGAAAGGCCTGTCCAGGTTTCAAAACAGGAGTGTGGCAAAGCGTGAACAGCAACTGCTACTCACTGCAGCAAGTCCGCTCTATACTCCCAATAGAGATCACTGACGCATAATGGGCACATTAATGCTGGGACTCGAAGTCGTGTTGAACAGTACCACAAGAGGTATCATTATTTCTCACCGATCAGTATCTCAGACTAACAACGACCACGCGGTTCATCGTCTACGGAGTATATCCCATTTCCGCGTCGATGCTCGTATATGCGGGTGGGTACATAGCCGGGCAAGCTCTCGACTGCCGTTATGCGCACCTCAACGGTCGTCGTTCCCAAACGCTGTATTGGTCGACCATTGGCATTGTTTTTTGTGGTCGGCCCACTTTTGTCAAGCCCTGGCGGATGTCTTACGCCCCCATGCTCCTCTCCCATTTAACAGGTTTGGTACTTCAAAAAGCCACCATGCACAAATGGTAGGCATCCCTTCACTCGAAAAGCCGTTGTTCAATTATCTCAAACTTTGACAACGTTCCACGCACCACACAACCTTACGAATCATCTTCACCATGCCTGGTGGCATAAACCCTCCCATCGAGGTCAAACTGAGTTGGCCAACACCAAACTATGTCAACCCTACACTTCGACCAAACGCGGTCCTGTGGATTGCGTGTGTACTTGGACCTATTACCGTCGTTATGACTCTTGTACGGTTATGGGTCAGAATCTTTCATCAAAGATGTCCCGGTTGGGATGACTGGTTGATGCTGGCTGCCCTTGTAAGTTGCTCATGATCACCCATCACGGCTACGCTAACGACCTCAGGCCCCGGTGATCGCCTTGACAGTCATATATCCCCTAGGTAATATCTCAGACCAGTTCACTTCTATCTAGCTAACGCGTTCCAGCAACCAACCAAGCGTTCGACCGACATATTTGGGACCTAAACTACCTCTTCGAACCGGAAATCATCGTTAAAGCACGGAAATACGTTCTCGCAACCGAATGTGTCTTCTGTGTTGCAACTGGCCTCGTCAAAGTCTCCATTCTTCTCTTCTACCGACGCCTCTCGGCCCGCGCCGTGTCGAAGACATTCGTATGGGTGACTTGGGCCACTATCGGCTTCATCATCGCCTACACCATTGCCTTGACCTTGGCACCTATCTTGGGCTGCCAACCCATCTCAGCATTCTGGGATCAAGTAAACATCATCAAGAAGTTACAGGGTTACGAGTTCCACTGCTTCGACGAAGGTGCCGACGTCTTCGCTGCCAGCATCATATCCTGCGCCCAAGACGCCCTGACTGCCGTTCTTCCTACATTCCTCTACTGGAATCTCCAGATACCGATCCGACAGAAGCTGGCGTTGTTCGGTATCTTTGCCATGGGTTACGGTGTCGTCGCACTGGGAGCTGTGCGAGCCTACTACAGCTGGTACACCTTCTATGGCACTTACGACGTGACATGGCACACATGGAATCTGTTTCTTACTTGCATGCTCGAGCTGTACATCGGATGCTTATGCGCCAATGCGCCCGCCATGAAGGTCTTCTTCAAACATTTCTTCCAGGAAAAGCTCAGTCAGCGATCCAAGACGAGAACACCAGCTGGTACCGATGATCGCCAGGATAGTGCGCACACCAAGTCGAAGAACTCGTGGAGGAAGTTCGGTGCGAGCATTACAGGCGGAAGCTGGGCCAACAGCACCAAGGGATATTACGATTCTCACCTTGGTACCACTGTCGACCCGCATGGAGGTGTGCATGTGCACAAAGAGGTGCAAGTGACCATGTCGCCAACCAGCTCGGCAATGCCGACACCCACTGGCATTGACCGCCCTGTGTCAACTATGACAGCCGACATGATCTGCGACCGCGATTACGAGGACATTGAGCTTGGGCGTTACACCACAGGTCATAACTCGCGAGCATCCAGCATGCGATCGACTCACCTCTACGAAGGACACGACTTGGAGGCACTTCCGCCACTACCCACATCTCCCGCATCACCAACGTCGCCAGCTAGCATTGCTCCCCTGTCATCGCATACTCTCTCACCCACAGAGAAGAAGCTACCCATAACACCCTTACCTGGCACCGCAATAAGTCAGGAAACCAGGAGGGAGAGAAGTCCCACACCAATGCCCCCACCACCAACCGCGCGGGAGTCGCCATATCCCCCACGTGGTTCAAGTCAGAAGAAGCCAAGTTGGCAGTCGTGGTCCTGAAGCGTGCCGCGCATGCTAACGTTCGGATACTTATGTCGACCTATACCCACGCACGACATGAAGCATCGCGTAGATCGCGCAAAAATTTCCTCGTCTTTCCTTGTACTTGCAGCGTCGCTGTAATGTCGCTTTATGATACCATGTCCGCTCTCTGGCGCTACTATAGAAGCATACCATCTATGCATCAATATATTTATACCCTTACAAAGCTTCGTGTACACTGCGACCGCCGTCTTCGACTAACAGATTTGATGTTGCGGCGCTCGTTCCTACCGATCTTGATGAGCTTGCGGATGACGCTCCGATGATGACGACTTACACCATCACCCTGCAACTTCGGCATGCAACCGAACCATGTCGTTTACGTCAAATTTCATCGTACGTCAGGAAAAAAAGAAGAAGTAAAATGATGTATAGCAAGGGAGGAAGTTCTAATGTAGATTCTAGACCCATCACATGTTAGCCGAAAGAAGAAGGTGCATCCTCGCTACTTTATGTTCGGAATTAATGACCCAACCATTCCGATTCCGATGAGGCGGCCACCTTGAATCTCCACGCGGGACACTTTCAACATCCACGCCCTACCGAATGACTCAATGGCGTTCTTCAGAATGAAAAAGCTTTCTGAGCCAAAGCTTGAGTCTCTCAATCGGTCGAAAGTAATCAAAAGGTTCATTCCACCCGCATGATGACGCCAACCCTTTCCCCACCAACGCTTTTCACACCCTCGGAACTCAAATACAATCCAACCCTATCAAAATCCATCACGCAACTGGTCAACGACGCGTTCTACCGTTCGTATGAACGAGATACGGTGAAATGGGATAATTCGGAATCGCGCTTCAGCGATGAAGAGGGGCTTCATACGCTGCTGAGTGGGGCGGGCAGCGTTATCGCATTGATCTTTGACGATGCGGCGAGCGCGAACGAGAACGGTACCATCGATGGCGGAAACGGTAGCATCAGTGGCGAAGGCAGCAGCAGCGACGGCAAAGAGAGTAGAAAGGTCGTCGCATGCGCCTCTCTCGTACCCTGGAAAGGCGGCTGGGAAAAAGAATGCGCCTCCACAGAAACAGGCTGGGAAATCAAAATCGTATGCGTAGACGGAGATCCACAGTACCACCACCGCGGCCTTGCTATCCAGCTTCTCGACTTCCTACAGCAATATCTCATCGTGCGAGAAACCATTCAGCTCGAACAAAAGGGACTACAGGGCCAACGCGTGTTGAGCCTTTGGATCCTGGCTGCGGAGTGTCTCAACGGCGCGTATTGGCGTAAGAGAGGGTATGAGGTTGTAAGGAAGAAGACGTGGGGACCGGGGACTTGGAGCTGCAAGACGAGTTTTGAGATGGTGGTTTTGAGGCGGGATGTTACGTTTGGGTTTGGTGGTGGGTCGGCGGTGGGGAAATGAGGGAACAGAATGGAGTCGGGTATAGCGGCATAATGGCTTCTATGGCCCCTAGCGTAACCGAGGACTCTCTTCCCAGTCTGGCTTTGGAGACGAAGACGCCATGCTCATGTTGAATGTCAGGCCGGTTGTCGCGTAGAACTCTCGCAGTCCCGCCCCACGCAGATCAGGCAAATAACAGCGTCGTGTCTTGCTGCTCAGGGTCTTGAATTCGTTTGGTTGCTCCTTGAACACGAGCTCGATCTGTACATCCGTCCAGTCTGACCACGGGTGAAGTAGAACCTCGTCGAGCTTCCTCTCCATGCACTGCGTCCAAGGCTCATTACCGAAGATCATCAACTGCGCGAGGTCCTGGACTGCTGTAGCGACGCGCTCGTCCGTCAGTGTGTCCTCGCTGTTATACTTCTCTTTCACAGCATTCCAGTTGACCTTCGGGTCTAGTACGAACAGACAGACGAAGTCTCTACGCTGGAGTCGCATTTGCAGTAGCGGAAGGAGGTTGAGCGACGGATGTAGTACTCGGCGCGGTCGGCGCACCTGGACAATGCCTTGCCATACGGCCGCCTCTTCAGCAGCAATCTCATCAGCGGTCGAGGACCCACATCCAAATTTAGGCTTTTGAATGGGAGGCTCATTGCAGATGGTTTCGTCAATGTATACGGTGATCGATTTCGGCGCGCGCGTGGATAGCCACTTCCCGTTGCTAAAGGTAGAACACACCGTGTGACAGAAGCGATCAACATCCAGCCAATCTAGACCGACTTCGAACGTGGCAAAGAGGTGCGAGAGGAACTCTTTGCGCAGCTTTTGACACACATGCGCGAGTGAGAAGATCGAAGCGGGAGTGGAGTTTGCGCCGAGGGAGAATGAGTTCGCAGTGAAGCGGCGGACGCGGCCCTCGTATTCGGCAGTCAAGAACTCATAGACTGAGTTGCGGAGTTCTGTTATGACGTCAGTGTTGATGCTACAGGCTTTGCGGTCTAGCCAACTCACCTGCGGGCAGATCGAGGAAGCGGAAGGGCTCGGGGAGTGAGCGTCTCGTTCTCATGCTGGGCGCGACAACGTTGTAAAGATTGATCCAAGATCCCTAGTAGTACTAGGTAGTTGTCTGGGATATGGAATGGTGGAGTTAGAGAGAAGGAGAGTCGGCAAGTTGGGATCAGTTATCAGCGTGGTGGTCCGTGGTGAGGGTAAACGACACTGAAGGCCGCGTGACGCGTGGGTCTGATCGAAGACAAACTCTGAACTCTCCAAAGGTTTCATGATTTCACTCTCACAATATCCATATAGTTGCGACTGCAGCCTACCAGGTACTATTGTCATGCTCGTTGCCTTGTCTGAGTTGCGTGCGTGGTTCAACCAGACACATGAAGGTACCGGACCGACCATCGCTAGTAGATCTTGAGATATTATAGAACAGATGACTGCAACTTCCGGGTAGCAGCGACTGTAGTGATGTCCATGATCGCACTCCTGATTCTTCCAGACCCCCTCAAAAGACTCTTTCTCGACCTTTCATGCCTCGAACCTTATTTGAGGAAACTCCGGGAAATGCCCCCAAGCCGAGCTAATGCCATTTCTCTTAAAGTAAGTTTCTCCCAATTCGTCTAATTCCTCATCGAGCAATTTCGAATATAGTGACTGAGATGTCAAGTAAAACGTTGCCCGTGGATCGATAAAACCCATATTGGAAACCGTGACCTTGGTAATCGCACCGGTATTGATATCGGAAAGCCACTGTGGGTCCCGATTGCGCATGACCTTCTTAAGAGCTATAGTGTCTTCATCGATCCAGGCCCCAAACTTATATCGACCTTGAAGTTTCATTTGATCCCCGTAGATTCGCAGGCTAGCCGGGTCATGAACTAAGTGACAAGTGAAGTTTGGCCGGTAAAGACCAATCTTGAAAAGCGGTAAGATGTCAAGCTCATAATCGTAGTCCACCTCTTTGCCGCGCCATGGAGTGACTATGGTCATGTTCGCCGGTGCAAGCTCAACATTCTCGATCTTGCCGTTGACGGTGGGGAAGAAGGTGCGCATGTAACCGGTAACCGCCTTCCAATCGATGACGATGTCTCGCTTCAGGCAGATAGATCGATACTCGGTACGAAGTTGTTGACAGCTCTGCGCAAGCGCAAGACACGGCAGTACGCAGCGAGGTTGGTCGGCTTCGGTCTCAGCAGCGAAGTCATAGATGAGATTGCGCAACTCTAATACACATGTCAGCCCTGAGATCGTGCCCGGAGAGGGTCGCGCCTACCTGCTGGTAGATCCAGGAAGCGAAAGTGGTCTTCGCGGTCGCGCCTACTGACAGTGTTCTGGGCCATTTTGGGAGTGGACTGAAGCAGTGCCGGGGGTGTATGGCGAGAAGCGAGGTAGAGGGATGATGCAGTGGATTGGATGCGAAGGTACAACGGTAGAGTGGCCCTTGTTAGCGCTACGCTATCTAAGTAGTCGCCTAATGCGATCCACATTCACGTGTCTCCACGTGATTAAGAGTGAAATACGCCCAAGTACATGATTTGCGAAGAAAGCCGCAAGCTACGTGATCGGTATGCTTTAGATACTATCTATACAAGTACTTTAAATCTGTAGAAGTCTTTGAAGATGATGCTGCAATGTGTGACCGCAAGCTAGCGTGAGATATCCACGCCCAATCTGATCACTCGCTGACTCTATTCTTTCTCTACATCTTCCGGCTCGAATTGGTGAAATTACGCACATCAGTATCTTCAAATGCAACGTCATGATAACCCCCAGACCAATCTTCGAAACCTGTCATGTTGTAGAGCTGTCTCATCTGATCCATGTAAGCTTGCCCTTCCCGGTCCAATGTCATATCCACACCGTGGGGTACATGCCCCGGCTTGTACCACAAGTAGGATCTACAAACTTCATGACAGCAGATTTCAGAGATCTTGGATGCTTGGACGTCGTGTCTTAATGCAGGCGACGTATTTTCGAGGATGTGCGTTATGAGCTCACAAACGTACGGTGGATAGAAATGCTCTTCGATATCTGCAGGATCGGGGATGACGGTGATCTCGGTTTGCGGGAACGCTATCTTAACTTCCAGGAGAGGTAATATGTCCACATTCCTCAAAGGCGGATAAAGGTAAATGACGCGCGTGGGGCGTTGCCCATCGAGTACCCGCTGGTTCGTATGGCCCGACGCAAAGAACGCGTTCGTGAAACCCTTGATGTCCTTGCCTCTGACTGTGAAGGGGACGTTTTGCATGTAGATCTTCCTGAATTCATCGCGAATTTGTCGGCAGACTTGGGTGAGACTGATGGTGGGTGGGTTGCCAGGCTTGGGTATGATGTTGCGCGGCGGTGCCTCGGCAGCGTATTCATAGATGCGGTTCCGAAGTTCTGAGGCGTGAAGTCAGTGAAAGTCGTTCATTAGATGAAGAAGTGCTCATAACATACCTGCAGCGAGGTCTAAGAAGCGGAAGTGGTGTCCATTGGTCGACCCGGAGGTGATTGGAGCATCGTGGAGTCGCATGGCTGCGAGCGCGTCGCCAACAGCGCTGGTATAGGACACGATAACCTGATCTATGAATTGGCGAAGGTGTTGCTATCACGTATTCAAAACCTTCATCGACGTGGAGCATGTAGGAGTCGACGAGCCTACCGGCGTGCCTGGAGCTTTCGTGTTCGATTAGGCAAATAATCCCGCGCTAACCCAAAACGTCCATTGCCCGCGGCCCCACCTGCCACGCGCGCACCTCAGACGAAACCTTGGAAAGTAGAATTGAGTATGTGCACCGTAGGCTACGTTAATTTACAGATCAGAATCAACAAACCCGAAAGGCAATGTCGACTTCCTGGCTACGTTCTACTTCTTTCTTCCCGTGCGGAGGGGCCCTATTCCTCACCTCCACGCCAACCTAGGAAAAAACTGAACACCCTGGAGCCTACGTTGACGTTGGATTACCCACTTTGCAGAATTTTGTCTTGATGTAGTCTACAGACCTGTTCAACTTTTCCTTGTATGAGGTGCCTGCATCATACTGGTGGAGAGCCTTTCATACCATTATCTCGTCCCTTAGGCCGTCAAGACCGGTGGTACCCGTCGTTGAGGCGAGCTGCCCGCTGAACTTAACATGAACATCCACGGTTTCGTCCGGAGATTGCATAGTGATGGCTACACTCTTCACCTCGTACTCCTGTACAGCAACGCGCCACTTCCGCTTCGCTTCCTTAACCAGCGCAGTGTCTTCAGTTTCGAGACGTGTAAAACTACCATACTGTACCAGCTTGGTGATGGAGACTCCGGCGGGAGCACAATCCTCGAAATGGATGATGCGTACTTCCAGTCCCTTGAAGGCCAAGCCCAGTCGGACTAGATGGATGATTTCCGTTGGTCGATCGAGCGTGCAGTCGAAAGCCGTCTCGTACTGAATGATGAGCTTCTTGGGACCGCTTCCATACTCTTCTTCGTTCGGGTAGAAGCTCTCGAGGAATGCGTGGACAGAGTGCCAATCGATGACGAACTTGGCGCGTTCGAGCCACATTGGTCGGTACTCGGAACGTACCTAACACGTGGATATACTAGATCAGTATATGTTCCGTATCCATCTCTCATGATAAGTTACTTGGCGGGAGACTTGTGTCAACGCGATGCCTGCGGCGCCGTGATCACGAGGTCCATGGACTGGTGTGAGTAGCTGAGAGGGTACCTCTGCGACAGCGTACTCGTAGATTTGATTGCGGAGCTCTGGATGGATGTCAGTCTTCCGCTTTGCGACATTTCGATATATATATACTGACCTGCTGAGAGACGCATAAAGTCGAAAATACCTGTTGGAGTATACGCGACCTTCTTCGCTCGCGGAAGGCGACTGCTGGACAGGACGTCGTCGTCTCGGCGTCGCTTCAGGCGAAGCATCGAGAGCTCGGGCGTGTAGCGATCCATAGTGACGTTGTGGACGCTGCACGGGTGGTGTTGTTGTTGTTTTTGTACGGATGCGAAATACGTGCCGTAAACATGCCTAGGGTCTCGCGTTTGCGGTGACGTCATCTACCTTGGTAGCCTACAAACGCGTTTGCATTCACCGTTTGCATTCAATTGAGATAGACATAACTAAATGACCTCAGAGTCGTGTATGAGAGGCCGGATCTTCGCTTAACCATGCACCGGCATCTTCGCTCGATTGGGGCCAGCGCTTACTTTGGCCCCATAACTGCCCAGGTGCGCCTCGTGCCGGTGTGACGACCATCATGGATACGAACTACGAAGAGTCACAGTCCTGCCTCAGCACGCTGTGTAGAATTCGGTGTCTAACCTGATGAAATATGACTTCAAAAGATAACTCCACGAATCTCTCGATGCCAGATACCGTCGACTCTCATCATCCGTCGCCAAGAAGTGCTCGCGATCAACTATTACACATGTTCAGGAATATGAAGAAGCGCCGCAATGTGACCAAGATCATTCCGTCAGCAAGAGACCCAGAACCTACTACCTCACCCCTTCTACTATTACCAGCTGGTATGTTCCCCCAAAAACACATACGTCCCCCACCTAACACACCCCAGAACTCCGCAACCAAATCTACAAATACGTGCTACAATCCCAACACCACCCCATCGAGCTCTTCAAATCACCCGTTCTCTACAGCTCATGGAGCCACAGCACATCCGCCTGGTTCCGCATAATAAAACCCAGCCAAGTATGCCGCCAAATGCGCAAAGAATACCGACCCTTGGCCCTCCGCCAACAAGAGCTCACCATCAGCATCAAGCCCTGGCTCCGTTACGTCGACTTTGTCTACGGGCCTTCGGGACCCGTTGAACACGTGCCTAGACGCATTGATCTGGTTATCGAGGATCCGTTGGTAGAGCGATTGAGACTGGATGTACTGCCATTGCTGCGGATTCGGCATTGTGGTTATCCGACTGGAAGAGCGTCGATATCGTTTAGACCGTGTCATAGCTATCTAAAGCAGCCGACGATGATGAAGGTGCAGCTAGATTCTATACTGGGCTTTGACGATGCACGTTGGGTGGCTTGCATTGGCAGCGGAGACGTCGCGGAAGTTGTGATTCATGCTGGAAGAGGGAATCTTGACTACGGCGTTGCTATAGTGAGGGTTGTGATTGTGTTTAAGAGCGGTAAGGCACCTGGGAGACTCACGAGCGAGGTTATTGTTCCCGAGGTGATGGTTCGCGACGAGGGGTTTGTTGACAAGTTTGCGGAAACTATGGGTTGGACGAAGAGGAAGGGACTGGATGTTCATGCTTCGATAGAGGGGCATTGTAAGAATGTTTGGCCACTTCGGCCGACGAAGTATTTGTCGAGATGGACATGAGATCGGGAGTGTAGAGGTATATTGTAAAGTGCTATCTATTTCGAAAGGTCGTGGCACTGAGTGCGTCTACTTCCATGTCGACGCACCCGACCTGAGACCACACAGGACGTCGTAGTATAGCCCCTTGCATTGTGAAAGATGAAACACTGGGTGATAATCCAGGAAACCTTGTCATAGGTTCCAAAGACGACGCCAGGCTGCCTCGGCGCATGTCTCAGCTGTCAACCAAAGCTAGCATATGAGTACCATCATCCCCCTTTGCCCTCTGCATACTACTCACAATCGCCAAAACCAACTTTTAGTCTTATCCTCATCATCGTCGAACCAAAAACTGTGCCGATACCCGTATGAACGCTCCTGGGGGTTCGGGTCAGGGTATGCGAGCCTAAATTCACGTATGCCACGCGTAGGCTGAGCTGCTTCATTCCACATCTCGTAAGCCGTAGGCTTCCACTTCCTAGCCATGTGTTGATCCATGGTGATTCGGAGTGCAGAGCTGTAAAATCGAACCCTGAGCCTCATTTCCTTGATCGAATTGGCCATTTCGCGCCACTTTGAGTGGGATTGATCAGCGAATAATGCGAGCATGCTGTTCACCTGTGCGATACAAAGTCCGTCGTTGTATTTCTTCAGGTCCTTCTGAAGTTGGAAGGTGAAGCGAACCTTTGGTGAGCGCGAGACAAGCGAGACTACGCGCGCGATGTCTGCATCGTAGAACTCGTCTTCACCCATATCCTCACCGCGGCTATGTCCAACTACGCTGATGATGTGTCCGCGGTAGCGCAGCATCGTGGCCTCGTCGCTAGGCGGGTAGAAATCGCGGATGTATCGGGCGTAGTGGTAAGTGGATTCTAGGCGGAAAGCAGTCTCGGTCATGTAGATGATATGGAACTCTTTTCGGATTTGCCGACACGTCTGTGTGAAGCAGCGCCATCCTCCTACCGGTTTGATCGGATCATCGTGACGGAGACGCAATGGGACGGGGTCTGTATCGATGCAGAAGCTGTATATCTTATTGCGTAGTTCTGTAGGTACTGGATTAGCTAGGTTCTGGGTAGTTGGGAGGACGTACGCACCACCCGGAAGGTTCAAAAAGCGACTGTTTGATGCGCTCATGGTGACACCCCGCATCTGCGCTTCTACAGAGGCCATGAGCGGGTAATCCCCGTCGATTTCTGAGTTGCTGCTGTCAAAGTTAGTCCCGCATGGCTGAGTGTGAGGGGCAACGTACAGGCGTAGGTGATCCATCTACGAGCTTGTGTTGTCCGTGAGAAGAGTCTGTGGTGAAGTGAGAATAGAGGGAAGCGCCTGACCAGGTGAACCATGGTACGGCTGCCAAGCAATAAGGTAGCGCGTGTTATCGGGTACCTGCATGTACTGTGGGGTCCACGGGTGCGGGGCTTCACCTTCACGTGAGATACGTAATCAACGAGCAAACGCGCTTGACGCTTTGGGAAGTTGGTAAGTTCTTCTAAGAAACCACGTCCCTTTGCGAATTTGGGACCTCGCAAGGAACACGGTACAAACTGTCAACCTATATGCGACCCGGAGAATATTGGACGCCAATACGAGGGCACTAGGCGTAAAACAATGTCTGCCTCAAGCCTGCGGTGCGGAGTGCTTATACACGCTCGTAGCATCCGTGAACAGTATAGCAAACGCATCCATGGGCGGCGCACCCATCTCAATCAAAGCCTGCCGTGAGTCCACCTCCCCAACCCGCTTCATGGCTTCTTCCATTGTCTCCCTCGAATAGAAGGTGAAACATATCTCAGGCACGGTGCTGCAGGTAATCTCGATCCTTTGAAACACAAGCTCCAAGTGCGGACGAAAAGCGCCGGACGAGATGTGGGCGAAGAAGTCGTCGACGGAGGACGCAAGATCAAGACATGCGCTAGCATCTGTGAACGCGACCTTGACGGAGGGGTACTTTGCGCAAAGACGTGCGAGTAGTCTCGCGTCGTATCGGAGCCCGTAGTATGTGGTGATTCGAAGGTTGCCTTGCACGCCAGGAACGCCAGTCGACACAGGAAGCTCGTCGTTCGGGCGGCCCGGCTGTAGCGGTTCGTTTCCAATTCCATTTTGTTCCCTCAGTCCAGGATAGAAGGAATAGAAGAACTTTTGCGCGGTGACCTGGTGGATGACAAGGACCGTCTTGGCCATGTACATTGACCCGAATTCCGCGCGTGTCTGCCGGCACACGTTGCGAAAGCCGCCGTACAGTCCAAAGCGAACATGTTCGTAAGGCTTCTCTGGTCGTTTGGGCATTCGTGGCAGTTGTATAGCTTTTGGTTCGACGCAGTATTCGTAGATGCGGTTGCGAATTTCGCCAGGCAGCGACAGGAGCGGCGAAGTGGACATTGTGATGGCGTCGAAGCGATGGAATAAATTTGGTATCGACTGCAGTTGCAAAAGACGATTACTGCCTTCGGTTTACAATTCATTCAGGTAAGAGGTGAAGATGCGGAGAAATAACGTAGCAACAAACAGGCAGAGAAGCGCTAAAGCCCATTCGGCTAGCACGACGTCTAGCGCTGGGTGCCTCATCTGGGCGCTCCAGGATGCAGCCGTTCATACCAATCCTCCGGCTTGCAGTAATTCGTCCGAACATCCAGTATACGAAAGTCAGCCAGGCCAGCATTCTTGAGAAAATCCATCGTTTCGAGGCCCGCCGAGTGAATGATATTGTCGCGCTTGGAGCCACACGGAGGGTCTGCCGTAAGCCAGAGGTCGAGAAAGGGCGTTGAGACTACTGAATAACGGCCCCCATTGAATCTGAGGTCTCGCGCACCCAGAGTTTTGAGATAAAGGATTGCGGCGTCCACGTTATTGTTTTCGGGTCGGACCGTTGCTAATGTCTTTGACCCACTGAGAATGCTGTTCAGATCCTGTACAAGCAACGAGCCGTACACCTCTGATACAAGCTGGCTGCAGAGTTGACCAGGGTCGGTTGGACCGTGAGTTGTGTCAACCTCTGTGGAGAAACCAAACTCGCATATGAAGGATGGTTTTTTAGAGCGCATCTGCAGCAGCGGAAGGATATCCAGATAGTATTCGTTTTGATCATTGACTCCGGGGCCAAGATCAAGAATGATGTTGGCAAATATTGGGCATACACAGGTCTCGACGCCTCCCTCCACTCGGCTGTATGCCTGGATGACCATTGCGAGGTATTCGTAGATGTGTCGTGCGTCCACCCGGAGTTGAAGTTGTTCGCGGTACAAAGCCCTAAACTCGTTTCGAGGCGTCCTCGAGACCTGAGTAAGGCCTAAGAATTGATGGCGGGTGCGATCGATCCGTGGGCCAGGGTGGCTGTCTTGGGGACGTTTCATGTCTACGATGCCTTCGTTCTTGCAGCGCAGGTAGACATTGTTCCGTAGCTCTGAAGCCAAATTAGCACTGACCGATAGAGCAATAAGGTGAATGTTGCTCACCGCCAGGAAAGTCCATAAAGCTGGTCCTTGGGCGAGAAGTAGTCAATGAAGCCATGTCCTTGTTGGCCGTCATGCTTGCTGAACACTGTAGTGGAGCTGCTTCGTGTTATGGCTATCGAGTTGACAATAAGGTGGTAGGGCTACTGGTTAATGTGATGAGCCCGGCCTGCAGTTATACTCGTGGAAGGAGTAGCTGTCCATATGCAAAGGTCAGTGCTTCTGCAAATCGCCAGAGCGCTTCCTTCTCTCTCTAAAAACTTGTTAGATTCGACTAGGACTTCCCTCGACGACCTAATCCGTGATTCCGACTTGTGCACAGGCGGACAAATTCGGGAAGGTGAAAGGGTAGAAAGGGCACAGTTAACGGAGTGATATTGGGCAGAGACCCAAACGTGATATACTAGGTAGCTGCTACCAAGCCTTGCTACATTGCCTTGCCTTCAGGCGTGCTGTTCCACGCATGTTCGAATTGTTGCCATCCGCCATGGGGTTCCTCGCACATCTTGAGATCGCTAATGACGAAGTCGTAATAACCTTCAGCAGGAAGCTTTCCCTGGTTTACGGTCCCGCCCATGGCGATGTTGATGAGAATCCTGAAGTCTTCCATGCGGCGTGTGCCCTCTGGAATACAACCCTTCATGACTGGGTAGTTGTCGATGTACCAGATCATGCGCCCTCTCCATCCGGGTATGCCCTCTTCTTCGATCCAAGCGAAGCCATAGGTGTGTGGTTGGCGTGCCAGGTCTGGAAGGGATGTCTTCACGACGCGATGCTTCTGTGCATCCTCGCCGGTGTAGGAACCCCAATGTAGACACGAGTGATTCTCCGTCTCGCCGTTCCAGCTCTCTGCAAGGTCGACCTCGCCGTCAGTCGGCCATTTGAACGGGTCTGCAGGCAGCATCCAGTATGCAGGCCATATGCCTGGTGCAGACGGAGGCAGACAGGTCGCTGTCAAGTATCCGCGCGGCCGCGACAGCGTCTGGTGTGAGGTCAAACGCGCAGAGGTGTAGCTGCCGTTCTGTATGAGGGCGCGCACGATCAGGCGGTTGTCGTGATGGAACGAGTTCTCGGGTTTATCCGTATACATCTGCTTCTCGTTGTTGCCCCAGCCATGGTCGCCGATCTCGTGCCGGAAGTTCTGCGAAACGGGTGTCTTGATGTCGAAGGACGGCTTCCAGTAGACGCTCTGGCCCTGAGGTGGAGGGAGGTTCTGGGGCGGTGGAGGCTGCGCAGAGTTCGGTCGGTTCTGAGGAATAGGCGGGGGGCCGCCAGGTGCTGGAGATTGGGGCTTGCTACCCTGGGGAACGGGCGGTGCGAGGGGCTGCTGCTGCGGAGGCGGCGGGCCCCATTGCTGCTGAGGGGGTGCGCCCCATTGATTTTGCTGCTGATTGTGCTGCCCCCATTGCTGGTTTTGGGGTGGGAATTGCGGAGGATACTGGCTGCCAGAGTACTGTCCGGCGTTTGGCGCGGGATAGCCTTGGGGTGGCTGCTGGTAGCCCTGAGGTGGCTGCTGATAGCCTGGAGCGGGTTGTTGGTAGCCCGGGGGAGGCTGCTGGCCCGGATAGCCCTGTTGGCCCGGATAGCCTTGGTTCGGGTGGCCTTGCTGGTGATGGCCCCCGGAAGGCTGCCCAGTGAACTCTGAGAGCTTCGCCTTGCCCTTTGCTAGGAGCTTGTCGAGTGTGCCTGACATGGTGTCGCGATGCCGTGATACGAAGGAAGTCACGGTGGGACGAAGGTTCCGCTTTGAGCCGAGCCGCCATGACGCAAGCAGGGCTGCACCTCCCCAAAAGCGCCGACGAACTCTCTAACAACAACACGCATTTCAATACGAACAGCCTTGTCGCAAGAACTTTCTTCTTCAAGGCCAGGTAACCTTACCTCAAGATATTATCAGGCAGGTGTTCTAGACCATCGCAACTAGCCAAGGCATGGATATTCCTCGCAACTTACCAACCTCTCCAATCTTAACCGAGCCTTCATCACTCTTTCGACTCGCTGTTTCTCTCCTTCCTCCAATCAGCATCGCTCCTTCTCTGTCATTTTCTGATTCGCCATGCTTCCCTGTCGTCGCCTACAAACAGGCGTTCACCCACGTTACACCCGTGACGTCACATCTCACCACAACAACGGCTATTCACCCGAATAGCCAACCAGGCTTCCCATGGAAAGCGGGCAGGATGCAGGCCTACACATCCACGGCAGCAGCTATGTGAAACAGGAAGTGCTGCCTGTGTTAACGTAGGCCCCGCGTCATCCCCGTGTTTTGGCAGCAACCAAACTGTCTTAACGGAAGTCGCGCCTTGTCGCACTGTCGCACAGGATCAAACACTGCATATCTGGCAGATACAGCCTTCTCTCTTACACTCCACCACCCCACTATTCCCATCAACTACTCCACCTCAGACCTGTAATACCACACCACTCGCCCGCCATTACTCACAAGCCCACCCGAACCAACATGTCTTCCATCGTCAATGCCCTCAGCGATCTCGTCTCGTCCATGGTCGAGCTCGTCTGGTCCTTCATCACCACTGCCGGCGCGCTAGTCCAGAAGACGGTCCAGTTCGCTCTCAACTTCATGTTGGAGATGATCGACCTCGTGGTTAACTTCTTCCGTGGTCTTGTGGACCTTGCTGGCGGTATCGTTAGCTTCGTACTCGGTGAGTTGGCTGACGACATTTGACTCGCGCACTCGATCGATTTGGAAACTAACAACACTATAGGCAACGTCCTTATGCTGGGCGTCGTCGCCGCCGCGGTCTTCGGCTTCCTCAAATACCAGCGCAGTCAGGGCAAACAGGTTACCGTCGGCAACAAGAAGCTGAATTAGCCTCTCTTCTGCGATCCCGATCTCTACAACCTACGACGATCCAAATGTTGGTGGTCTAGGCCTTGGACATGGCTGGTACGGTGGCGTTGAGTTTCAGACGTCCCTACGAATGGCGAGAAATTGTATGATACCCCTTGGTGACGGCAGCGTCATGGCGCCCAGCGCGGAGAATTAATGGTCTAGCGCTTAATCGTGTACCAAATCAAGTTGTCTTTACTACTTCCCCACCGGTCGCCCAATCTAAGCTAATCCTTCCCGTGTCCCAGGGCTTACCCGTTTAGGCTCTGAATACATTCCCCAACATCACGAATAGAATTAATCTATTCGTCTGATATGTAAATATCGAGTGAATTCTCCGAAGAATTCTTGTCTGCTCCACACTGCATGTCAAGAGTATTGGCAAGTTGCCGTAATGCCGAACCTCAATCCCTTCACAAAGAAGATCTCGTCGTATCAACGTCTGTCGCATGGCGCCACCGATGGCGAAAGCGACGCATGCATCTCTCCAAGCTCTACACTTCGAGAGGAATGCGATGACGACAAAGGGCTCTTGCTCAGCAGAGGACCTCGTCGGTCGCTTCGTTCGTGCCTCGTGCACGCATGTGGGTACATCTTTGTCGCATTTCTCGGCCTTTCAATCGGCCTCGGCTTCAGCAGACTGCTCAGTATGGAACGCGATATCGATGGATACCTTAGTAAGCTTTCCCCAGTTTCCTGTCGATTCCTTGTCCGCCAGACCAGTCTGTTGGCTCGGAATGTGTCGTAATACTGACCAATCGCCAGCACCGTATGGCAGTCCACAGCGCAGGATCGAAAAGGTCGTCTGGTCGCTCAACGAGAGTTTTGCCGGTGAACCTAGCGCTGAGACGGAGAAGATGTGGAAAAGCCTGATACCAAAAGGACGAGCGTTCGTCCAACACCCAAAGCTAGCAAAAGAGATCAAATCCATGTCTGTCTTCCATGAGCTTCATTGTCTAGTAAGCCCTCTTTCTCTATACCACCGCGGCAGAATCACCCCGCTAACAAGCAAAAGCACGGTCTTCGACAGATGTACTACAAAAAGTCCTACCTCCTCTCCAAACACCAACACCACGAATCCCAACGCTCACCACTAAGCCCGCCTCACATAAAAATCGAAACCACCTCCAGCAGCCACGAGCACCACTCCACCCCCACATTCACCCCAAACCCTTTCCTAGAAGCCCTCCTCAGCTCCGGCGAAGAGCACGACGATCCCGATCACATCCAGCATTGCTTCGAGTACCTGCGCCAGGCCCTTATCTGCGCTGCAGATACCAATCTGGAAGACACAAAGGAAGAGGTTGATGAAGATGGGGTGTTGGGGGTTGCGACGAAGGGGTGGGGGTCGGAGAGGGTATGTAGGGATTTTGAGGCGGTCAAGGAGTGGGCGGTTAGGTGGAGGGTGGGGGATTATGCGGGGATTACTTGAGCTGCTGAGTGCTATTGTTCTCATGATCGAGATGCCATGTCTCCTTGTCAAGTTTTGGGTGTGTGGTGCGGCGGGTTTGTGTTATTGTAATGGGTGTACGTAGGACTTTGGCGCATACGGCCGCGGTAAAATTGTATCTATAATCGCGGATTATTATTTTGATCTCATGTCGTCGCCAAGAACTTCATCGTGGAAATGATGTGTCGACGCCAGGATATCTTGTGAAGCTTACATCGGGATAGACCCTCTCAAGCACGCTTGAGCTAGCCGAGTAGGAACGTTTGCATCTCTTGATTATTGAAGTCTCTTGCAACCTCCTCAACGATATAGGAGCGGGGTTGCTCCAATACTCTCTCCACTGTAAGAGCTCCATTATCGTCCTTGAAGAAGAAGTTAGTTCTGCCCGCATGCGTGTATAGGTAGTTGAAAGACCCTATCCGCTCGTAATGAGTGCTGTGATGTTGAAGCATGATGACAGTGATGTGTTGTGCTTCGTCATCCTTAGGGATCAACGCACAGGGGACTCGTGGCAAATCAAGGGAAAGGTCTGGTTCCGAGTCCCAGCATGGCAGCATACTTGCATATACCTCGACATTGTCACCAGTCGGAACTCGCACATGAAAACCTGCCCGAGGTTTAATGAGCCAGGGTAGCTCATCGACTGCGACCCTTGACTTGTCGATTGAAAGCAATTCGCTTGCCGAGAAATAACGGAGTTCGAGCCAACTGAGCTTTGCCGTGATCTTGAGGTAACGCGACTTCTCCAGGATTTCGGCCCCGACTCGCTGGTTTAGATTCTCTTTTACTTTCGATAATTGGATGAACTTGCTGTTATCCCACACTTCGACTTGGAACGACCGCGAGATCACAGGCGTCGGGTTGTAGTCATACTTAGCGACGCCTTCCCAACCCAAAGGGGACCAGCTAGGAAAGGCCTTCCGTCGAAAACATGGCGCGTCGTGGAACCAGGTCAACGTAATAGCCAAAGAATGTGGCACTATAGCCCTAGGTAGTCCGCCAAAGGTGACTCCCCAAGTGTGGAAGATAGGTCTTCTAGCTTTGCTAAACGTGTTTAAGACGCCCACTATGCCGTTCAGTGCGTCTGAGTTGAATGTCAACTTGCGGCGCGTATATTCCGTGAGCATGTGATTTTTGAAGTCCACCTCCAAGCCATTGATGGGAAGAGAGGGAGAAAGATGGCTCAGAGTGTCATACCATGTGGGTTTATAACCCGTCTCGGCATCACAGCGCACCTCTTGACTACAGATGTAAAAGAGCCTTGTGTCCGTGAAGTATAGCCTGCGTTTTGACATATAGCCTTCCTGAAACGTCCAAGCACGTGAGCACCAAGCCGAATGATATATTTCATCGATGTTCCATTTGTAGGTAGTGACGAATCGTAGACGCCCGAGTGTGACATCATGTCGAGGGTGCTCGCGATCGCGTTCAACACCAGGTAGGCCATACGATGAGTTTGCGCCGGCAGCCGCGACAAGTGTGACCGCTGCCGAAGAGTATATGTCGCCCATCTGATTTATCTGATAATGCTTATCTGCAGCGTTCCCTTGGTCGATGCACTAGGTACTACATCAGCCGCGATCTGCCCAAGACAGCAGTCTTCCAACATACGTATTTGTCGACCCACAGATATCGATATCCGAGCATCAGAGTGGCATCAAGGCTGTGTTTAACAGTAAGTGGCATCTGTTCTAGTAGTGCAGAAGACCTTGAGATGTTGCATGTTGCGGAATCACCCCAAACATATGAGAGAGCAACGTAAACGCAATCTTTTGGGGCAGGAATTACGTTCATAGTAACACAATCGATAACACGAAGGCTCTCTAGCCCTTCCGAAAAGTTGGTAGTGCAGAGAGAATGCGACAGTTTGCACGCATGGACCCATGTCTTGGCTTGTTCGAAATCGACACGCCTGGGTGCATTCTGTGTTTTGACACGCCCCGGACGAGCCATGTCGTCATATACTGCCAGATCGGGCTTCAAGGTTTTGCGGGTGTCTCCCTTTGAGTACTGGAATTCGAGTGTTCCCATGGGATCTCCATCATCCCGGCGGCGTCTCCAACTCACGCGAACAGATGTATACTGCAAGCGGTGCACATCTATGGTGTCTTGCAGGATCTGACAAGTATGGCAGTGTCGATCTGTCAAGGGTTGTGACAGATCATCGATGTAGATGAGCGCCTCAAGACGTTCGAATGCAGTTTTGTCAAGGTTGGTGAAGTTGATAGGCGCACAACGCTCGCATGTATGAGTCTCATTGTCGATCGATGGGTGTCTCTTCTCACTTGCCATGGCGAGCCTGTGGTCGATGTTGAAGTGGGGACGTGGGTTTGTACGCGCTGCGCAACATCAAAACAGCGATACGCTCAAAGCAATGCGGTGCATGCATCAGCGGAGGGCTGGATCATGCACGCTGCAACAAAAAGATCGTGAAGGATAGCAAATCCAAAAACAATGTGAAGTGCAAGCGAAGCAGGATATATCGAGATGAAAGTTGGTGGGGAAGGCTGGCAGGCAGCAACAGCTCAAGCCGGGAAATGACGCCCCAGGCTATTTGCCGCTTTACCCAATCCGGACGAGGCTGAGCAACACCGATGATGATGCATAGCCACCATGGTCACAAGCGCGTTAATGACCGAAGAAGAATCAAGTTCGCGAGAAGATTGTATCACAGTAAGAAGTATATTCTGACGCGCAAAGATGTGTGCGAAGCTGTCTAGCCAAGAAGAAAGGTACGTCTCTCTGCGACTTGATCCCAGGCACCTGGCTCGCCGTGTGGGACGAATTCCCAGAGGTCAGGGTTGCTGGATGTATACTCTCCTTCCATGTCGATAGTATACACTGTAGGGAAGCAGGAACCAATCCGCTCGTAGGAGTTTGCTTTCTGCTGGAAAATGAGCAACAAATATTTGGAGAAGATAGAACCCCAAGAACCAGAGTCGGTCTCAGGAGGCGTCATCGTAGCGCACACAACGGGTAACGCGACATCGAAAGTTGTCTCATCATCCAGGTCCAGCCGAAGGAATGGACTTTGCACTTCCGTGTTTGGCCAAACCTCCTTCTGATCCTTGACATCCTTTTGTCTGATAAAGGTAGTTCGGAGGAAGTAGTCGTTGCGGCACCAACTGTGAAGCTCGAGTTGTACGACATCCGTCGTGATCTCCAGATATTGAGATCGATGAGGAACATCTCGGCAGTATGTATAGTCTAGGTCGCAGGTACCGTTGTCGAGTTCTTGATATCTTTCGCCCGACCAATACTTGATCATGAAGTGGGGTGTGACTTCTGGTACGTGGCGATGGTAGACTTGTCCTATCCATCCTAGGGTCGACCAGCTCGGGAACTCAGGAAGACGACGGGCGCTCCAGGGATGGTACCAATACAGAGAAATGGACATGGTACTATCGGTGATGTGGGCAGCGTCCGGTCGCTGGGTAATGGTGAAAGGGACGCCCCAGATATGATAGACAGGTGAACGACCATTCTTCATAACGTTCAAGATACCGATAATAGCGTTTAACATGTCAGATTCTTGTCCTCGCATCCGTCTCGAATATGTGCGCATGATGTTGGTGGCATCAAGCAGACTTGCAACCTGCGAACTTAGTGCCGTCCTGATATACTCGTCGCTGGTCCCTTTTGTAGCGCTAGGATCAAGCTCCCAAGGGTTTGGAGTGCATTCTGCTACCCAGGGACAAGACTTGCAAGTAAAAACCGCTTCGCGCTCTGTAAAGCAAAGAATCCTCTTGGAGAGATATCCCTCTTGCAATGTCCAAGCTCTTGAAAACCAAAGGGACTCGACCATATATTCTTGAGTATTATCGGGAATCAGACAAAGAGATCGGGAACCTCTGACTGGCTCTCGAGCCCACACGGCTGTGCGATCTTTGCTGATGCCTACAAGTCCATAGGACGGGTCCTTACCTGCTGCAGCAACAATGGTCACCTGCGCACTGGCATAGATCATGCCCATCTGACTGATCTGTTCCTTCTTATCGTGGTAGTCTTCTTGATTGATGCACTGATCTGTCAGTTTAGTTCGATTGAGTATTCATGTCGGCTTACATATCTGTCAACCCATAGATACCTATAGCCAAGTTCCAGGGTGGACCTTACTGCGTCCTCTATCGTCGGGGGAAACGCAATCGTTGTTCCCAGGACGTAGCTTTCTGCAGAAAGCTCACCCCCCCACACGTACGAAAGTGCGGCAAACGAGCAGTCTATTGGTGCCACCACGACGGCCTTTTTGACACAATCGACGACCCTCAAATTGAATAGTTGTGGCGGTGTCTCAGGTTCACAGGATTCGTGTGATGCTTTGCAAACTTCGAGCCATGACCTGACCTTGATAAAATCAACGCGCTTTGGAGCATCTATAGACCAGGTCGTTACATCCTCTTTTGTAGCTTCTTGGTTTGTGAGAATCAGCCATGTCATAAAGCGTCCGGGCTCTATCCCCACGTGAATAGATCCCAGCCAATTCTCTATGCCCACGGAACGTCGCCGCCACCTTGTGCGTAGAACGCATCGAGAGTGAGCATGTTGTACGTATAGTGGGATGATAGCAGACAAGATGAGACGACACAACCTGCAGGACGAGGTCTGCAGATCCCCCAAGATCTGCTCCTCATCTTCCCAGAGCTCTGAGTCATCTATCTTCTCCTCCAAGTGATCCCACGGAATGCTAGAACAGCGAGAACACAAATCCGCCGCCGAGTCTTCCATCTCGTCCGAAGGCAGCCGCTCAAGACCCCCAGCGCGTCAAAGTCGTGCGTTGATGGAGCAGCACTGTTCGTTATCGAGTATACGCCGAGCGTCGTTGTAAGCTGAGTAGACCGGTGTCTGATGCGTGAGTGAGGGGTAAGAAGAGGGAAGGCTGAAGGCTGAAGAACGAAGGCGATATCTGACCACCTGCGGCTAACCCAAAGCATTCGAGGCGAAGTTCACCCAATCAGAGGATGCACCAACTTCACGAAGCGGGGTGTTTCTGTGATCGGTATGCGCAGTGGCGCTGCTTTGCACACAAGGCTCCGCTCGTTGACACCAGACAGAAACTTGGGAAGTTGGTAGCAGTTTAAGCTAGGGGAGCTCTGTATGTCGAACGAGATTCATCTCTGCCAGAAATTACTTATATTTGATGCGTACATTAAAGTATACCATGACCAGGAGCTCCCTGAAAGTAGAAAAGAAGAGAAAATGGGCCTGAAGTGTATCGCACATGCATCAAGGCATGTAAGGCGGTGGCGGATCGCGCTCGCCCAGCTCAGTAGACACAGTCGGCGCATAGTGCGGCGCTCCAGCATGTGCATGGCCGCCGAACGTCTCCCAGTTATCGTCCACAGTCTGACCAGCACCGCCCTCGCGTCCCGTAGCCATCTCGTATACCAAGCCTGGTGATGTAGGCGTAGCTCCAAACGCCGGTGTCGACACCGAGAACCCTGCGTTCCCATAGACGCCATGTTGTGGTATAGGTGAAAGACCGATCGCAGGGCTAGCCTGCTCGGGTACGTCGTGTGGCCGCGAGCCGTTTGCGATAGGCATGCGCGATATCGTCGCGAAGGAGTCTGTGCGTTGGAGGGACGGCTCGATGATGATCTGAGGTTTTCGCTGCGGTACAGGCCGCCGTGGGATGTTGAAGCTTTGCGTGTGGGGAGGCGCGTGCGGTCGCGATTGAGGTTGGGCTTGGTGCTGTATCTGGGTTTGAGGCTGGAATTGAGGCTGGTATATCTGCGGTCGGGGCTGTGCGGCTACGGGAGCATAGCAGGCGTACTTTTGCTGTGGTACCACGGGTTGCTGCTGTTGCGCTTGTGGATGGTGTTGAGGACGGTGGTGGGCCTGAGTATTCCAGCCATTCTGCTTTGCAGGATTGGCACCAGGGAATGTGTGATGGCGTCGCTGTTGAGCCTCTTCCTCGAGCTGCTCCTTCCCGTTCTTCTTTCGGTAATGCCGGTGAATGAGGTATCCGCCTGCGACAATCTCAAGGCCGCCGAAGATCATGGTGTTGTTTAGCTTGCCGTAGCGACGAAAAGTAGCAGGGTCAGGGAGGGAAAAGCCTAAGGTTCAAATCGGGCCTTGTCAAGCAAGTGAGGGAGGAGAAGACGGCTGAGGCCATGATAATATCGGAATTGTGCTCAGCCTCTATTGTCAGACTGAAGGAAGGAGCTATTGGTGCCGTATCCTCCGACGTGGTGGCTGAGTCGAGAGATGCAGCACCCGCAGCTGCCAATGATAGTGCCTCGCTTACTCATTCCACTCGGTTGCATGTACCCCTGTCACCAAGTAGGAACGCCTGAAAGAGTCGAGATCTCTGAATACGCAGAAAGATATCAGCCAGAGTTGCGAAGAATGTTGCGAAAGAAGTAAGCTGTTGGAGACGTGTCATCAACAAGGAGAGACCCAAGGAAGGCAAAGGTGCCAACTCGGAGCTATAGCAGCGAGCATATACTCAGCATTGAGAGCCAGATGGCCTGCTATCGCGAGCCCTCACGTTATCAAGGTGTTCGTGTGGGTTTGGTACCCAAAGTCGCGAAGAGGGGTCAGCGAACGCCTACCTGGCCCATATTATTGACGATTGGAAAAGGCGCGAGATGCGCTCGAGGCGAAGCGCGTCTTTGGGTCCAAATACGAAGATGTTTTCTTCCTCCCATGGCCTTCGGCATGGTCGAAAAACGCGTCGGAGACAACAAGACGCGTGAATTTGATGTGTGTGTCCTGGAATTATTCCCGATGACTTTCGGTGCAGATGGCCCGAGCGACACTTCCGCAAACTAGAAGAATCATGATGCAATTGCTGAATCAGCGCACGACCTCCTAACTCCGCACACGGCACGCGCGGACGGTAGACGTCACGCCCGCATGTCCTTATGCACAGCGAATGCGGTCGAAGCAAATAAAAACAACGTTACGATGCCGATACGATGGAGCAGACAAGCATCATACCCCGGATCTTCCGGATCGATGGATGCGCGAAATCGCTGCATGGGGAACAGCGAGAGCGACACCGAGCGTATAGCATCTGACTTTCGAATTCAACGTACATTCCCAAATTGTTGACGCTCGTCATCGACGCTATCCTCTCTCCACGTACCGATCGAGGTACCAGACGCTAGAGGACAACGGCCTTTACATCCTGGTCTTCGGCACATTGGGTCAGCCGTTATGTGACAATTAGCTAGTGATCGTCCTTCACGGATGAACTGGAAAGACTAGTCGTCTTTTCGCAGTAATGCTTAGCCGTTTAGTGCCATTGATCGACGGACGGCTTCATCACCAATCTCTAGACCACTACGGCACGGCGCACGGTTTAATGCCCGAGGATAAATGGCTTGGTCGAAGGGAGTGCGGGCAATCAGGGCTACACATTCAGGCTCCGCATTACGGAATGAGCTTGCGATATAAAAGCTCTTCGTGCGTCGCGATTGACCACAACTCAACCGAGTAGCTACCACTCCAAGCCAGCGTCATGTTACTCCCATCCCTCATCGCAAGCACTCTTACATTTTCGAGCGCAGTTGCGGCGCTGCCCCAATCTCAGCCGTTTCGAGAAGTTTTGCGAAGCAGACAGAGTACCACGAGTAATGCTTTAGAGGTGGATCTGGGCTACGAGATTTACCAGGGTTCCAGCAATGCAAGCACAGGCATCAATAGTTGGAGAGGGTACGGCTTTCTCGTGATCTTGAATAACTACAGCTAACATGCGATCTCAAGAATCCGCTTCGCTGCGTCACCGACGGGTAGCTTACGCTGGCAACGACCCCAGGCACCATCCGTAAACCGAACTTCGTCCATAGCCGCGGATGCCTACGGATCGCAATGTCCACAGATCGGCCAAAGCAATGGGATGCCGAGTATGCCATCAGACTCGGACTCGGACTCACCACCACTCTCAGAAGACTGTCTCTTCCTCAATGTCCAAAGCCCCGCGAATGCGACAAATCTTCCAGTCCTCGTGTGGATACATGGTGGTGGCTATGGCGCTGGTAACGGACGACAAGACTTTACCGATCTTCTTACAACGACTGGCAACAAATTCGTTGTCGTATCAATCCAGTACAGGCTGGGACCTTTCGGCTTCCTCGCGTCTGACGAAGTATACCGAAAGGGCGTCGTCAATGCGGGACTATTAGATCAATTCTTCGCTCTTCAATGGGTTCAGACTTACATCAGCCAGTTTGGGGGTGACCCATCAGCTGTCACTATATCTGGCGAGAGTGCTGGTGGTGGCTCGGTCATGCTACATGACATGGCCTATGGTGGCTCTCTAGGCGACTCGATGTTCCGCAGTACTATTGCGGCATCACCATACTTGCCCAAGCAGTACGGCTACAAAGACTGGATTCCGACACAGAACTACTATGCGTTCGCCGACCGAGCCGGCTGCATGATCGACGCATATGGTAATGCGACTTCCACCATCTTCGATTGTTTGCTATCGCAAGACACGGAGACGTTGCAGAACGCTTCCCGCGAAGTGGAAAGCACTGCAACATTCGGTACCTGGGCTTTCCTGCCGGTTACAGACGGAGTGTACGTTCAAGATGAGCCAAGCAGCCAGCTTCTCGAGAAGCGTGTAAACGGACGGAATGCTCTCATCGGAAATAATGCGAACGAGGGCCCTTCGTTCGTACCACAAACAATAACCTCTGAAGACGACTTCACGGCGTGGCTCCGCAACAACCTGCCCGAGTTCACCGACTCCGACATCGCAAAGGTTCTTCGCTACTACCCCATCAGCGATGCCGCGACCACTTCCAACGCAGATAAGTTCGCGACGAACGGCGTGACCAGACCCAGCGCGCTCGATCAAAGCTCAATAGCAACCGGACAGCAACAGCGTGCCAACAACCTCTACGCCGAACTGACTTTCGTATGCCCGTTATACTGGATGGCGGAAGCGTACACCGATGGTGATCGCACATCATACAAGTACCAGTTCAGTGCCCTCCCAGCCACCCACGGCGCTGATGTGGGCGTATACTTCGGACCATTAGGCGGCAGGCCAGACGTAAGCACCGACCTCCAACGCGCCTTCATGAACATCTGGGGCAACTTCATCACTGAGGGCACCCCGTCGATTTCTGCTTCCGTTGCAGCTGGCTCTTCTGGCTCGTCAAACGGATCGGTAGCCACCAACGATGCTACTCAATGGCCAGCTTTCACGATCGCTGAACCATATCAACTTGATCTTAACCAGACGGGTGGTGAGTTAGCTTTGATGGTTAGCTCACCGGTCAACCTGACTTATCTGACTGAACCGGGGCTGATGAATAGCTTTACGCTGGTGAATGCGTATACATGGGAGGCTGGGCGTGGTATGAGGTGTGATTTCTGGAGGAGTGTTGCTGATATTATTCCCGCATAATGTTGTTAGACTGATTACGCAGACAACTCTTGTGCAGTATGAAAGTACAAGCGAAATCCATGACCATCTTCAATTTATCCTTCCGTTCTCTACATATCCCCTGGATCTCTGACCCTCAACCTGTCAGCACATCTCCAGATACACCCTGACCCTTCTACGCTCAACCACTTGGCGCCTCCGTAACGGTTACAACTACATTACGCCAATTCATTCCCGGAAAACCGACGAGATTAGCCCAATGCTGTCCCGAGATCTCTGTCTCGCCTTTCGACGCAATGGCTGTAAAGGCCTCGTGTGTCAGATAGACGTGGAAATGATGGTTTGCATGATCGGGTGCGACAACGTAGCGTATGTACGTCAATCGAGACACAAACTTGATCGCATAGCCAAGCCAAGCGCTGTTCCGATCTTCGGGTATGATACGGCGAGGTGTACATGGGAACGGCGTTTGGAAGAAAACCCGCAGTAAAGGAGACCTCGCATAGAGTCGAAGCAATCCAGCTAGTTCAAGCGACACACCGTATTGTCGGGCCATGATGCGCAAATTGCCGCGCGCCTCAGTAACACCCGGGAAGAAGTCTGCAATGTAAGGATCTACCAGATGCATTCCGATTACTACCGTCGACTGTTGCTCGAGTAGTGGTAGGAATTCGCGCCGAAGCTTCCGACATGTTTGGGAAAGGCCGAGTGTGTTGCGTCCGCTTGAAGTCCAGCAGAGCGGCAATCCAGGTAAACAGTGCTGCATGTGCGAATTGAGGCTGAGTGTGCCAAAGTTAATGCTGCGGGGCTGTGCGAGGTGCTGGTAGATCTCGTTGCGCACTTCTGCATCGAGGGATTAGTACGCGCGGCGCACTAGGGGAAGAGGGGAGACATACCGCCAGGCAGTTGTAGCAGTCGGCATATCGCTATAGGGTTGTTTGAGGTACTCTGCATCGTTTCGCGGATGAGCAGTCCCGGGGTAGATATCGCGTAAGGAGCGGGGATGAGATAACCGAAGCCAAAACTGGGCGAGATCGTGAACTGGAGTAAGAGAAGGTACAGTGGGGGTCATACACTACCTACCTAGGTAGGCATCAACACATCACGTGCAAAGGATCCAGTCCGAGTGCAGACCACTTCCTGCAGGGGGCACCGATGTTTCTCCAACGGCTATACCAGGGGATAGTCAATGTCTCAATGTTGCCTGCCGATTTTTAAACACATCATCCCCTGGACGCTTTACACATCAACTCCTCCAGGCTCTGTTCACATAGTATCGACTGGGACGTCTCGCCCATCTAAGGCAACAGGTTAGACTAAGGAACCGCTCGACAGCCGCATGAATGTACGTTAATCCAAGCTAGGAGGTGCATTTAAGGCTACACATACCCCGATCATTTTGGGTCTCACCTCATCCATACCAGCACATATCCCAAATTACAAACATGCATCTCCGTCTCGCAAAGCCTTCCGATGAACCAGCCATCGTCAACATCTGCGCGCGTGCCTTCACGGAAGAAGACCTTTTCGATCGAGTGATCCACCCCTACCGAGCTCAACATCAAGACGACGTGAAAATATTCTGACACGAAGGGGTACGCAACGACTGGTCCAACCCCCGAAACAAAGTCATCGTCGCCATCTTGACCACCCCTGA